TAGATATACTCCTAAGTATTTTATTCTTTTTGTTGCAATGGTGAATGGTATTGTTTCCTTAATTTCTCTTTCTGTTTTCTCATTGTTAGTGTATAGGAATGCAAGAGATTTCTGTGTGTTAATTTTATATCCTGCAACTTTACTGTATTCATTGATTAGCTCTAGTAATTTTCTGGTAGAGTCTTTAGGGTTTTCTATGTAGAGGATCATGTCATCTGCAAACAGTGAGAGTTTTACTTCTTTTCCAGTATGGATTCCTTGTATTTCTTTTTCTTCTCTGATTGCTGTGGCTAAACCTTCCAAAACTATGTTGAACAGTAGTGGTGAGAATGGGCACCCTTGTCCTGTTCCTGACTTTAGGGGAAATGCTTTCAATTTTTCACCATCGAGGATAATGTTTGCTATGGGTTCATCATATATGGCTTTTATTATGTTGTGGTATGTTCCTTCTATGCCTGCTTTCTGGAGGGTTTTTTATCATAAATGGATGTTGAATTTTGTCAAAGGCTTTCTCTGCATCTATTGAGATAATCATAGAGTTTTTATCTTTCAATTTGTTAATGTGGTGCATCACATTGATTTGCAAATGTTGAAGAATCCTTGCATCCCTGGGATAAAGCCCACTTGGTCATGATGTGTAATCTTTTTAATATGTTCTTGGATTCTGTTTGCTAGAATTTTGTTAAGGATTTTTGCATCTATGTTCATCACTGATACTGGCCTGTAGTTCTCTTTTTTGTGGCATCTTTGTCTGGTTTTGGTATTAGGATGATGGTGGCCTCATAGAATGAGTTTGCAAGTTTACCTTCCTCTTCCCCTGATTCTTGATTCTGTTTCTGTAGGGAAATATGTTGTAAATTTTCTAAAAAAATTAATAATATAAGTAGTAGTCTTAGAAGTATGGAGAAAGTTTTATGTTTGTACAGATGTATTGAATTGTTAGTTTCAAAGATTAATATCATGTGAGCGACCAGATGAGAAACAGGTTTTAAATTTAAACATAGGTAGTACAAACCAGAAACACGCATTTATAATAAATCATGGATAACAAATTTTAGTGTTTATCATTGAACCAATTGTATAGGTTTTTTATTTTTTTTTACTGAATGGTAAGCAGTGCTATGTGAAAAGGAGTCCTGCTTAAAGACAAAGAGTGGCTTGATATGACAGTCCTTCTTTTCTTTTTTGTCCTTTTTCTGAAGATGAATAATTACATTTTATAAAGGACTTTCACTTCCTAATCTCAGTTACCCTTCACAGTAACCCTATCAAATAGATACAAAGTGTATCATAATTATCTCCTTTTAAAAGATAAAGAATTTGTGACTTAAAAAGTTACATGACTTTCTTAGGATCTTCTGGTTAGAGAAGATGTGCGTGAACAAATGTTTTCTGACTCTAAATCAGCAACACAGTATACTGGGAAAGTCATGGATTTTGCATTTTGACAGAATTCAGTTCTGTCATGTTCAACCATTTTCCTATGTTGTCAAATTTCTCAATTTCTCAGGGCCTCAGTTTCTTCATAAAATGAAAGTAACAATAATTTAGTATTTTTTTGGGGGGAGGAATTTATGAAATAGGCTATGCAAAGTGCTGGATAGCTTGTTAGTGGTTCTCACCTAGTGCGAGCCCAAATCAATATTATTCCCCTTTGGTTTTTCACTGCCCTCCTTACTGTGTAAATTAACCAAAAAATAAAAAGATACTTCAAGGTAAGAAATATATATTCATAATTTACTGTTGCCAGTATTCATGAATGATCATTTAAATATACATGCTGTTCTTTAGAAAATAAATCTGTCAAATTCTTTTTCCAGGAAAGCTGTTTTAAAATCCTCTTTTGAAAATGTTTGTTCAGATGATGCCTTATCAAAAGAAAACATGGGTATGTGAAGGCCTGTCTTGCTTTTAGTTCTTTTACCTGTATTTAATTCCACCAAACGTAATTGTAGTCCTTTGAAGAAAACAAAATGTACGTGTATACATATATGAGAAACATTAGTGGCATTCTGGCATTAATTTACATACTAGGGCTTCTCCATTGTCTTTAAATTTCTATCCCCTCAAATTAAATTTTGCCTGGCTTTGTCATATGTTTGATTTTTTTTAATGAAGCACCAGCAGTTATAGGAGGAAATACCTACATCAGTACATGTCGATCTAGACTTCTCTATCCCACATTTAGTCAGGGCTGCCAAAGGAGGAGGAGGAAACGCAGAGCCTGGGGCTCCCGGCTGCGCTTGCTGCTGTGGGTGCCAGCGCTCTGCAGGGAGAGGGTGGCCTGCAGGGGGGAAGGCTTTGCTTTCAGAAGCCCTTTACTCTTTCTGCATTTTCCTTGGTCTTGAAAAGAGGCACGTGCTTGTTTGCAAGGTGGAACTTTGGCAGCCACACCAAGAGGTTTCATGGCCAATTGAACCCAGAGAAGCTGTCGGGCCTCACTTCCTCTCCTGTAGCCACCCCCACACCCTGTGGGGCTAAATGCGCCATTTGTACATAGTCTCGTGGAACAGAAGGAAGGACAGGGTGTGTTGTCCTTTATTGGACTGGAACCTGGTGGTCCGGAGTTGACGATAAGAAAGTGAGAGAGAGAAAGAGGCTGATATCCCCTGGTTTAGCGGAAAGCCAGTAGAGTCCTATTAGGGCTTGCGCTGCTGCACGGAGGCACCAGGCGCCCTCTCAAGTGGGTGAAGGCACACTGTGCCGTCTCGAGAGGGTCTTAGAAGCCCGGGCAAGAAAGTGAGCTCAGCGGGCCTCCGCGCTCCAAGGAATTAGCCAGAAATAGAGAGATAGAGAGAGAGAGAAAGACACGGGGACCCAAGCTCTGGTGAAGCAAAGGTGTTTTAATCAACATGGCATGGGCATATATACTGTCTTACAAGGTGGTTATTCTCAGCAAAGATAAAGATTAAAATTCCAGACTTACGAAACAGAAGACGATCCCTATCAAAGAGAGAGTTGCAAACAATCACCTTTTCATAAGAAGAAAGAGGGTACTTATCACCCTAATGAGAAATGCCTGGATTCCTCAGCCCCGAGAAAGGCGTGCCTCTCCTCTTAGTTCCTGAATACTCAGGAATTAATAAGGGCCGGAGGGTTCCTGACAGGTCCGAAACAGCACATAGGAAGCCTCTTGTTAAATGCTTCCTGACAAGAGTGGTTATTTTATATCTCTCTTTTCTCTCCTAAACCACTACAGAGCTCTGTTGTTCTCTTCTTAAACTTGGTCTGCTGCTGCTTTCCCGCTAATTAAGGTGCCTCCTTTTTTGGTGGGGGGAGTGCAGCTTTGTTCCTTTGCCTCACATGATCAGCTCACATATTCCTGTAGAAACAGAAGTCATTTTATCCCTAGAGTGAGTTCCCACTAGGTGACCTGACACCACAGCTGGGTCCTCCTCCCCTCCAGCTGGCACAGGATCCTACAGGAGAGACCCTAGGGCAGCAGGGACCCATGGACCAGAAGTGACTGCCCGTCAGTAGTCTCCTTGCTGCGTGGCTCTGAAAGCCTCAGTAGTTCTCTGTTAGAGTGGCTTCCCTGGTCTGTGTCTCACTCCTCCAATGCCATGTGAACTGAAGAGCAGAAGCGTCTCATCTTCTGTGTTCTCTGTCCACTTCCTGAAAGAGTGGTGCTTTTTCAGTAGTTTGCATCCTCTTTAAAATTCTTTATTCACTACTCATATTTCTGTGGCTTCTTTGATTCATGTCTCTGATGTCTCTCATTTCTTCTTAGCTTAAGGTAGAATCAGTCCTAGATCAAACAACAGACAAAAATGATAGCATCTGGCTCTTGAGTCTCAGCTCCACCTTGGGGTCCTCTTTCTTTACACTCTGGGTGCTCACATCTCCCCTTTTCCCGCTGCCCCAGCTGTGATGTGCCGTCTTGGCTTCATGCCCTGCAGTTGCTTCTCTCTCCCTTAGTTCGAGATCCCAAGGAGAGGCAAGTACATGTAACTGCCCTACCTTTTCAGACGTCACTTTCTTCATCTGTAATAAAGAAAATGCAAGAGAAGCTGTCTTCTCCAAGAAAGAGAGGACTGTTTCTGGAAGACAACAGAAAAAGTTGAGGGATCATTTCATAAATGATTAAACTGTATGTTCATGGGTGTGTAAAGATTTAATCTAATGCTGGGGTGGGAGATAAATTATGAGTTTGGGGTTAACATATACACACTACTGTATATGAAATGGATAAACAAGGACCTATGTATAGCACAGGGAACTGTACTCCATATTTTGTAGTATTTTCTAATAACTTATAATGGAAAAGAATCTGAGAAAGAATATATATGTGGGTGTGTGTATAACTGAATCACTTTGCTGTACACCTGAAAAAACACAACATTGTAAATTTACTACAATTTTGAAAAATGGTTATAAAAAAGGATTTGATCTAAGAGATAACTGTTTGTGGAGTATGTCTGTATTTTTTGGGAAATTGCTACCAGGAATATCTCGTATTATATTTGATTGTCTCTGTAACCCATTTTTTTTTCAGTATTTAGGAACCAAAAACTCTATCTATGATGGTGAAATAATAATAGAATAATAATGATACACCTGATACACCTGTAACAGTTACTGTGTCTTCACTTTTCTAAACGTTTCATATATATTAGTTTAATCTTCACAAAATCTGTATGAGATGAATAAGGTACATTTTATTATAATTCCTATGGTATCAGTGGAGAAACAGAGACACTTAATAGGTTATATGCCTTTTCTAAGGTCACATAGCTTCTTAAAATTAATCAAAGTTTGCAATATTTCCTTGGTTGCTTTAACAGAAGCTTAAAGCTAAATTTATGGTTTTTCGGTGTGGCTCAGTGCTAAAGAATCCGCCTGCCAATGCAGGAGACACGGGTTGGATCCCTGGGTCAGGAAGATTCCCTCGAGTAGGAAATGGCAACTCACTCCTGTATTCTTGCCTGGAATTTCCCATGGACAGAGGAGGATGACGGGCTGCAGTCCATGGGGTCCCAGAGTCAGACATGACTGAGCACACATGCAGTCACAGTCACATACAGCACTGCTAGTTGCTCTAGGCATCTTTTTAAAGTGTAATTATTGCCCTTCATATCCCCCTTAATGAACAGATTTTTACTTCTCTTATTTTTAGCCTTTGAGCTTTTGTCACTTGTTTTACTGTATCAGTGTTGTCTGATAGTAAATACCTCATTGCTCTTTGTGGAGTAGGCAGTCTCTAGAAGTTTTAATAAAAGATGAACATATCATCAGTATCAGTTGAGTCACTCAGTCGTGTTTGACTTTTTGCAACCCCATGGACTGCAGCACACCAGGCTTCCCTGTCCATCACCAACTCCTGGAGCTTGCTTAAACTCATGACAATTGAGTCGGTGATGCCATCCAATCATCTCATCCTCTGTCTTCCCCTTCTCCTCCTATATTGACATATAACCCTGGATTAGTTAACAGTCTACTAACATTCATGAGTAAATTAGCAAGGGATGCGTTCATCATCCACCTGAGACAGGTGAGCATGGCAGAGAATGGCTGATACAGAAAAGGTCTGGATGATGCCTGGATGAGCCTTAGGCCTGGGTGGGGGCAGAAGGCTGACAGGGGAGAAGGCTGCTATCTTGCTGTTGAAGGCAGACTTGGCCTGCCTGCTCTGGGTTGGGAGTTATCTTTATCCTCTGGGCCCTCCTGCCCCCCGTGTCTGTTCTAGGTAGGCACCTTCTTCATTCACTTGAGCCTGTAGTTCCCTCATCTCTACATTTACATCCTAAGCTGATAGAAGAAGCTTTGTGGTTACTTGAAAACGAATCAAAACCAAGCACTTTTTCCTCCTCTTCACCCTGCTCCTCTGGAAGAATGGCTTCAAAGTTTCAACATTGAAATGGCCCTGAAAATTTATTTAAGATGCTGTTTTTCAGTGCCAAGTTTGAAGTAACTGAACCAGTGGCCTCTTTATATAAAAGAGGAAATAGCTTCTTTAAGCATTTAATAGAGAAGTAGAGAATAAAGAAAACTTCATAAATATATTATACATTGATGGCTTTTTCTAAAATAGTGACTGATTTATTGAGATAAACAGTAAGTTATTTCTTACCAGGAATGAAAAACCAGCACTAATTTATTTTATAAAAATTCGTTAAAAAAAGCCAGATTCATACTTCAGTGGGAGAGATACCTTTTTTTCTTTTTTCTTTATTTTTTTCCTCCCACTTTTTCTGAGTGATAGAGCAGCTGTAATGGTACCACTTTACTCTCAACAACAAATTGAAGCAAGTCAGGAAAACTACCGGATAATCAGGATTGATAGAAGATGATTGGTCATGCAGTCAGCACAGGCCTGCGTTCTGTCTCTATCTTTGGAGATCATTGACCAATTTTGATAACCTCGTTTGTAGATTACAGTAACTGCAATTTCTGAGAATTATTTTTGGACTCTGTGTTTACAGTATAGGAATACCTTTTAGAAAAGCAAGCCTCGTGTTGTTCTGAAAGCAGAGTTTGACATCAGTCAAGTTGGTGTTATGAACCCTACTTAGTTTATGAAGCCATCCATTACTTCTGTCTACCCTTTGATCGAAAGGCAGTATACATGTTTTTCCAGATCACTTGAAAACAGAGAGCCTGCAGTGGCACTCGGCAATGACATTCATTATCATAAATTGATTGTAACTTTTTCCTCCTCTTCACCCTGCTCCTCTGGAAGAATGGCTTCAAAGTTTCAACATTGAAATGGCCCTGAAAATTTATTTAAGATGCTGTTTTTCAGTGCCAAGTTTGAAGTAACTGAACCAGTGGCCTCTTTATATAAAAGAGGAAATAGCTTCTTTAAGCATTTAATAGAGAAGTAGAGAATAAAGAAAACTTCATAAATATATTATACATTGATGGCTTTTTCTAAAATAGTGACTGATTTATTGAGATAAACAGTAAGTTATTTCTTACCAGGAATGAAAAACCAGCACTAATTTATTTTATAAAAATTCGTTTAAAAAAGCCAGATTCATACTTCAGTGGGAGAGATACCTTTTTTTCTTTTTTCTTTATTTTTTTCCTCCCACTTTTTCTGAGTGATAGAGCAGCTGTAATGGTACCACTTTACTCTCAACAACAAATTGAAGCAAGTCAGGAAAACTACCGGATAATCAGGATTGATAGAAGATGATTGGTCATGCAGTCAGCACAGGCCTGCGTTCTGTCTCTATCTTTGGAGATCATTGACCAATTTTGATAACCTCGTTTGTAGATTACAGTAACTGCAATTTCTGAGAATTATTTTTGGACTCTGTGTTTACAGTATAGGAATACCTTTTAGAAAAGCAAGCCTCGTGTTGTTCTGAAAGCAGAGTTTGACATCAGTCAAGTTGGTGTTATGAACCCTACTTAGTTTATGAAGCCATCCATTACTTCTGTCTACCCTTTGATCGAAAGGCAGTATACATGTTTTTCCAGATCACTTGAAAACAGAGAGCCTGCAGTGGCACTCGGCAATGACATTCATTATCATAAATTGATTGTATTGTAGTCTAGCCTTAGAAATATAAGGGCTTCCCTGCTCTCTCAGCTGGTAAAGAATTCAGCTGCAGTGCGGGAGACCTGGGTCTGATCCCTGGGTCGGGAAGACCCCCTGGAGGAGGGCCCAGCAACCCACTCCAGTACTCCTGCCTGGAGCATCCCATGGACAGAGGAGCCTGGCGGGCTACGGTCCATAGGGATGCAAAGAGTCGGACACGACTGAGCGACTTTCGCAGACAACTTAGAAATATAAAGATGTTTGTGTACTGTTTTTCCTTCCAGCAGAGCTCAAAATTCGTCTTCTCAACAGTGCATTAAGTGTCACTATCAATTTTCATAGACTCAGAATGTAAAATAGGAAAACACAACGTCCATGAGTGGGACTGGGGAATTGATGTGAAGATAGTCACACTCTTGTTGTTAAGTGACAAGTTACTAAGTAAGAAATCTGTCACAAAGAGAGGTGACTCTCAACACAACTGCTTCCATGAAAATGGACTTTCCTGTAGAAAATTCTAATTCAGAAGCCATGGTGTTGCGTTCATATTTTTTAATCATCTTCAGAAGATTCTTATGCCCCAGATTTGGAATACTGTTGTTCTAGAATGTGGTAGCTTATACTCTGTGTTCTTAGGCATTAGCAGTTACCACAGAGCACAGATCTGTATGCTTACAATTCACGTGTAAGTCACAGTTTTTTGTTTTTGTTGTTTTTGAACGTAGGAACTAATTCTAAGGTGTAGAATGGCTTATCAGAAAACTGCTTTCAAACTGTTTTGAGAGTTTTCCACAGAGGAAATCTGAGACTGGCTGGGTGAAGATGATGCCCAGGAGGGCTCACGGGCCTGTGGCTCTTCTCTCGGGTCCTTGGCCCTTAGAAGGCACACAAGAAACATTTGTCAGTTGAATAAAAGAAAATGGTAATAAAAATGGATTCTTTTGAACTGGAATGTTTCACATTAATAATCTCTGTTTATTACCCTTATAACATGCCTAATTTATAAGGATACCTGTCTGTGTAAAACTTACACACACACAAATGGATGGATGTGTATATCATATTACACAAATTAAAATTATTATTATTGCTGGGAACACCTTGCTTCCATATTCACTGATAATATTTTAGCCCTGAAGGGTGTGCCTTGCTTGGGTTTCCATGAACTTTTAGCTGCTCTGCATCCCTGATGTGGTTTTTGGTGACCTGCCAATGAGTAGCAGATGATGGGGTGTATGTCAGATTTGTATAACCAGAGTGGAAGATGATGGGGCGTGTTTCTTTCTCTCTGAGTCATGCTGCCCTTGAAAGACTTTTCAGGGCCCCATCTGTCTGCTGTGCAGGAGCAGGTCACTAGTCTCCTCCCTTGATCTTTACTTCAGAAAGATTCGGTATCAATTGAAAATATTTGTTTTATTTAAATAGGGAACTCATTTGATATTGTTAATCAGCAATCGGCTCTATAGAGTTATATTATATATTTATATCTTTGTTGGGAATATTATATCAGCAAGTTTGATGAATTACCGGATATTTTGCTTACTTACATATTTCTGTCACAGTAGCAGAAAAATCGCACAGCCATTATAAGTGTATGAATTTTTTTAAAAATTAGATTAGGCAGTTGAGATGCATTGATATTTTGATTAAGAATAGACTAGGGCTTCCCTGGCAGCTCAGATGGTAAAGAATCTGCCTGCAATGCAGGAGAACTGGATTCGATCTCCTGGAGAAGGGAATGGATACCCACTCCAGTATTCATGCCTGGAGAATTCCATGGACAGAGGAGGCTCGCGAGCTACAGTCCCTGGGGTCGCAAAGAGTCGGACATGACTGAACAACTAACACTTTCACTTTACATTTTCAGCCTGGATTTAGCCTTGACACTTAATTATGTGGCTTCCCCTTTTAAACAGTAGTTTTAATAGTTTATTGCAGGGCTTAACAAATTGTGGCTCATGATTATCAGCTGCTGCTTGTTCTTGTAAATAAAGTTTTATTGGGACACAGCCACTCTCATTTGGTTGAAGGTGGCACTGTGGTAAAGAATCCCCCTACCAATATAGGAGGCACAAGAGACACAGGTTCAATCCCTGGGTTGGGAAGTTTCCCTGAAGGAGGAAATGGCAGTCCACTCCAGTAGCCTTCCTTGGAAAATCCCATGGATAGAAGAGCATGGTGGGCTACAGTCTGTGGGGTTGTAAAGAGTTGGAAATAACTGAGATGCACTCACATATGGTTTGCTTTCCAGCAGCAGAATTGAGTAGTTGTGATGGAGACCATCTGGCTCACAAAGCCTGAAATATTTACTCTCTCGTCCTTCACAGAAAAAAAGTTGCTGATTCCTGGTCTATAAGTAACAATTTAATTTGGTGCCCTTGGCTTCTTATTTTAAAAATACACGTGTACACCCATGGCTGATTCATGTGAATGTATGGCAAAAACCACTACAATATTGTAAAGTAATTAGCCTCCAATTAAATAAATTAATTTTTAAAAATAAAAATAAAAAATAATTTAGTGTCAGGGATACTTATAGTCTACATATAGTAAAAATGTCACTTACATTTGCCAAGGAATAATTATAAAAGATTCACCTGGAAATCCACAATAATTTTGCATCAGGGAGAGGCTATAACTGAAAGTTATGCAAAATACTTTTTATCTTGGTCAGTTCAGTTCAGTCACTCAGTTTTGTCCGACTCTTTGTGACCCCATGAACTGCAGCACGCCAGGCTTCCCTGTCCATCACCAACTCCTGGAGCTTGCTCAAACTCATGTCCACTGAGTTGGTGATGCCATCCAACCATCTCATCCTCTGTCATCCCCTTCTCCTCCTGCCTCGTAACATTTAGAAAATGTCCTCTTTGAGGGTGGTTAAGGTTATGAATTAGATAGAATTAATTAAGGTGTAGGGTTTTTTTTCACTATATTAACAACGTTTCTTTAGTTGTCTCTGAGACAGAATTTTTACTGAAAGAGCTGGAGCAAATGCTAGAGCAAGCTCTGGAGCACACAACCACCCACAAGAAGTCTGAAGAGGAGCACGGAGAGGAAGCGAATATAGGAGAAAAGGTAGGATCCATAATGACCATCGGGCCTAAAGAGCAACGTCAGATCCTTAAATGGCAGAAATTGTTCCCGGATATTCATTTCCATTATATGGGAAATTCCTTTCACTTCTGAAACTTGAGCCCTTGGTTATCATGAGGTGAACAAGAAACTAGTAGCCTATGGAGAAATTAGAATGCATCTATCAGTCTTTAAAAAAAACTACACTTGAGCCAAGGAGCTGTTTTATTTTGGGTCTTTGGGGCTGGAATGAAGTCACTGACGCCAAGGAGGTACTGATCTTTGCCTTCAGGAGAAGCCCCAGGACAAGGGGGCCCCTGGAAACCTGCCCTGCCAGTCATGCACAGGGCTGACCTGCATGGGGCATTTTTCACCAGACTCTATTTCACCATTCTTAACTGGTTGTCTTTTTTTTTTTCTTTTGGCCAGCCATGTTGGGCTGAGAAAGGCTCTGTGTGCTTACTGCACTCAATACTTTCCAATGACAGCAGAAATTTTAAGTTGGTTGACACACTGCTCAGCACTACAGCAAGCCCAGTCACTCACACAGAGCAGCAGGGTAGCAGGTGTGAAAGGAGTCAGCCATGAGGCAGATGCTTACACAAGGTGGTCCAGCTGTCCCCTGTGTAGGTAGGAGGGGAGTGGCAGTGAGCAGCCCTGGATCCTTCTGATTTCATTCCTTTCCTCATTCCCTTATTTGGCTATCCACTGTGCCTGGAGTCAGGAGGCAGGTGATGGGAGACGGGCTCAGGATACTGTCCTTGCATCCCCTTCCTGGTCCAGGCAGTGAGGACTCAGGCCTGGGCAAGGCTGCCTGTCACTTGCCTCAGAGGACTGTTAAATGAGGCAAACCAGAAAAAGTGCTTTGCAGAGTAATTGACTCCTAAGACTGGCTATTATTACAGATGAGAATTGGCAGTGGCAGCCTCTGGAGGGAATAGGAGCTAAGAATTCTTCACCTGATCTCTGTTATCACATCTTCACTTTGCAAAACTACCCATCCCCAAGTCTTCTGTTCTGAGGTGCAGAAAAAGTGGCTTTGTAAATGGACAAGATTGTTCATCCACTTTGGGTAATTTCATTCAGAACTTCAGCAAGAACAAAGATGATTCTTAAACACTTCTTGACTAAGTTACAAATCATGAAAATACACAAAATTTGCAGTTGAGATCAAACTGTAAAGGAAAATAAAATTTAAATAAATGAAATTATTGGTAAAAACACTGAGTTGAAAAACATAATTGTTTTCTTGGTCAGCGATCTCAACTTGTTCTTGAATTGCCATGGATTGCAAATACTATTTCTCTGATCAGAGTCCCTTAAAAAAAAAAAAAAAAATCTTGTTCTCTCTGTAGATCTTACCCTCGTAGAACAAGAGCTATAGATTGGTGACATTTATTGTATACATGTAGTTAATATATAAATTATTCTTTTCTGGCAAATGTGTATTTTGTTTGAGCACCATATGGTTTTGTGCAGTGATTTTTTTTTTTTCAGTCTTAGCAGTTTGTCTATTCAAAAATACAGGCAGGTTGATTTTTATAGAAATGTCCTGGAGCTTTTACAGCCACAAAATTGGCTCCTATTTTGCCATTATAACTAGTAACTTGATAGAACGGAAAATTACTTCTGATTTTTATGTCTTAAGGTAAAATACATAGTTTTAATACATCACCAGGCAGGAGCTTGCTCTTTGTTTTAGATTCTTGTAATGTTTTATGCTTTCAAAAGGCATTTAGGAATTATAAAAATTAACTGTTTTAACTTGCTGGCAGGCAGGTGAGTGCTGCCTGCTGACTGGTTCCTAAGCCTCTCTCCACATAGAGCTTTAGAAGCCTGGAATTCATGCCAGGTTGGGGTACTTAAGGCCTTGTTCACTTTTAAATGAGGAGAATAGCAATGAGACCAGCTGTCAGAGCTGGAGCAATTTCCAGCTTAAAGGTAAAGAAATGATCACCTAAGGGATTTCTTTTCTCCTTTCTTTTCTTCCTTCCATTTTTTTGGTGTGTGTTAGTAGGAAAAATTAATATGACTTCCAAAGGTATTTAACACTGAAGATATGTTTTGTTTTTAGAAAGTGGTTAAGTGTTTTCTTAAAGAAAGTGGTCTTTTATAAGCTAACACACCAGAAGGAGATACCTGATAATTTTGATGTTCTGAGCATGTTTATTCTCTGTGCAGATATTGTTTGAGCTGTTTTCAAAGTTGTGAATTTGATGTTTTCATCATGCATTTCATGTGTGAGGTTTCAAGTTCATTACTCTCAAGCACTTATACCAATGAATTGAGAAGAGCAACATGAACAAAAGCATACACACATGGATAATCAAAATCCATTTTTGTTTGTCATTGAAGTACTCAGAGATTGTTTTCTTCAGTAGACTCACCTTTCTAATTATGTTCTTAGCTAACATTAACACTAGTTGACTTGCCCTGACTTGGAAAAAAATGGAAGGGAATTAATTTCAGACTGTTATAAAATCCACCTAAATAATTTACAAACTAGATAATCCATATACAAATAAGACAGAGTTTACTGAATACCTCTTTGTATTAAAAGGTACATTTTTGATATGTGAAAGTAGAAAGTACTTGTTTAAACTACATGAGGTTTTTTTTTTTTTTTTCACATTGTGTGGGAAGTTACCTCTGCCTTTAATGAACCCTGAAGTTGTAAATCTCGTGTGTACATGTGTATGTTTGCCTTCTTTTTACCTGTGTCCTTTCAAACTAAACCAGTGCGCACACTATTCACAAGGAATGCAGGTGCTTGGGAGAAGATGGTCATCATAAGTGTGACTAAAACAGTTGTCATATGTATTCTCTGTAATGGTTAGTTTTTAAATAAAAAACAGAAAACTTGCAGAATTTTAATTTTGATGACCACATTTTTCCAATTCAAAAAGTTAAAGCTAAAAATATATGATATCGAGGAGTAGAGATAGGACTAAATATTCAGTTACTTTTACACTGACACTGTACATTATATTTTATCTAGGGATCATTATTTGACCACCAGCATAACAGAACACCTTGTTAAGGAGTTACTGATGGTTTTATGTTTTGTTCAGATAATTAAGCCTGGTCTTCAAGTAAATTTGATGACTTCTGTGGTTATTTTTACAGTTACCTAAATGTGGCCCTGAAGTTCCTGTAGGCAGCTCTCTTGAAAACCACTGTGAAGAGGACTGTCTTATAATTGATGGGCGAAGGTTAAAAGCTGGAGAATGTATTGAAAATATAACTAAGAAGTTTAAAGAAATAGATGCTTTGATGTCTGAATTTTAAGGCAGTATAGATATTTTCAAAAGTTAATTATAAAAACATTTGCATCTTTACATTTTCCCAAAGTTAAAACTTAAAAATGTTTTGTGAAACATTTTACCAAAGTTGTTATTTATAACTTTGTACTTCGTATTTTTGAGAATATCCATTGTTTTGAGAGATAATCAGATGGTATTTAAGTTAATGTTGTAATTTTAGAATCTAAGAACCCTGGTATTTATATTTGTAGATTTTTTCTTATTTGCCTTAATTTTAAAATAGTTTATGAAACTTACTTCACAAATACATGCTTTATAATGATTTAATTTAGACCCTTTGTTCAAGTGTGGCTAACTGTTAAAATGACTGCCAATGCTATTATAATTCTTACAAATAATTCAGATCTAATATTCTTAAGAGAATGTATATTTGTAGTAGAAATAAGCTACTGCAAAATAAAAGGAAATAATAAGAAATGATTGTGTAATAGAGTTGGAGCTTTTCTTAAAAACAAAAATGTTAATTGCCTTATTATTTTGGAAACAATCGTTTCAACCACAGTTCCCAAACTGACTGGTTTTTTTTTTTTTTTTTTTTTTCCAAACTGACTGTTTAGTTGAGTCTGTGAAGGGTCTTTGGAAGATCAGAATCCTGGACCCTTCCTCCCTGAGTCAGAATCTCTGGAGGCAAGGATGGGAAATGTAATTTAAAATATAGAGATAAGTTAAACACCTTCACTGTGGAAAAATGTAAGCAGTATAGAGAAGTAAAAGGTACATCCTGCAGTACCACTCCCCTAACAGCCCCCTGGGAGCCCCGTTCCTTAGGGGTCCCTGTGAACAGTCTGGTGGCTGTGCTTCTCAATCGGGTCCTTTGCTCATCAGATTGTGTGTGTGCACAACCACCTCCAACTCTACACTCTAGCTTTGGCTCCTTTTCTAGACTGCTCCCTCTCCCTGGGGGCAGGGGTGGGAGAAAGGGCATTACAAGCACTTGAAAACCTGGAAACAAAGACCAAAGCTTGAGGAGAGAGGAAGAGGGAGCATCCAGGACTTGCTGGTGATTGAAGTGGCTGGAGTGCCGTGTGATGGGGGAAGGTGAGCATCAGAGCTGAGCCAGGCCTCTCCCCATCAACAGAGTGGAGGCTGCTGTGAAAGGAAAGGTAATAATCTACAGAAAGTGTAGGAAACAGTCTGAAGATGTGGAAAATACACAGCTTATAATGGTGACTGTCACTGGCTCAGAGCTGTTCTCTTCTGACCACCCTGCCATGCTTCTCCAATGCCTCATAGTCCAGCATGTTCCTTTCAGCAGAACCAGTGGTGATACACTTGCTTCTGCGGGCCCTGGGACCAGGAGTTCTGTGTGATTAGCTGCCTCCTGGGCAGGCCTAGAGGTCAGCAGTACCCCACATTTAGAGCTAGAGCTTCTTGCTGGGCCCGAAGGAAAGCGTTGTAAGGAAAGTGTGTCTGCCTACCAGGGGAAGTTAAACCCTAAGTACACTAGTTACACTACACCAAGTTTAATATATGAGGTGTAAAGCAATATGTCACGGCCTTCTGCTCAAGCATTTGGATTGGACTAAGAGCCCGTCTTTGTCCAGTTTGAGGAGGCTTCCTGCTTTCCTTTTTGGAATGAGTTGCGCCACACCATCCTAGTCTACAGCCTCTGTGAACTTATGGAGAGTCTGCATCCACTGGAAGTGTAGTCCCCAGTTAGATCTGCAGACCCTGGAGAGCTGAGCACCAAAGCCAGCTTGTTGCCTGTGTTCCAGGAAGACCTGGTCCATTTGCCCCAAGAAGCTGAATTTATGCAGTGATTTCCATTGGTAAGAGACTTACTGCTATTTAGTTCCTAAGCTAAGTCCTACTCTTTGAGGCTGCATGGACTATAGCCCGCCAGGCTTCTCTGTCCATGGAATTTTCCAGACAAGAATACTGGAGTGGTTTGCCATTTCCTTCTCCAGGGGATCTTCCCAACACAGGAATTGAACCCAAGGCACCTGCTTGGCAGGCAGATTCTTTACTGTCTGAACCACCTGGGAAGCCCGGTAAGAGGCTTAGCTCTATCTTTATTGGAGACAAACTGTATACTTTTAATGGATTCATCTCTTTTGCCTCCAGTGCATGTATGTACTTGCAGACATCTGTAATGTCTATAGCCTTGGCCTTACTGACTTTGCAGTGGCAGGCGATGGCCCACAGACAGTTAATGCATCCACTGTAGACCTGGGTGCTGTCATAAACTTTCTAAATCAGTCTAGTTTTTGTAGAAAGAATTGGCAGTTCACTCTTTCTAGAGGAAACTTGCATACAGGTACCTGAGGTGACCTATGTAAAGTGTACCTCTATCAAATAGCTGGTAATCCCTGTCTCCACCATATACTGCAGCTGACAGATGGTAGACTTCTGTTCCAGATACTCCCAGACCAGTAAAATCTGCACCTGTGGCCCTGCCAAGGAACAGTGGTAAGATTTTGAAAATTCTCAAAATAATGAAGTCCTGCTCTGTCATTTCTCTCTGTTGGGTCCCAACATGAGACACAGTACAACTTAAGAATTCTCATATTTCTTTAGGGCTGAACCAATTCTTGATGACTCTCCATAGAGTTCTAGAAGAGTTGGCCAGTACAGATAAACTTGATCTTAAGGTCCAAGTGGGGCATTTGCCCAAGTGGGCAAATCTGAATATTAGGATTTTCCATCTTGTGATTTGTTGCATGGTAAAAACACTCAAAGTGGTGAGCAACATAATCAAAGAGAAAAATTTTGAAAAAATGAGTTGTTTGCTTTTAAATTCATATAGCAAATTACAAGGAGGAGACATGCTCAAAACAAAAACCAAACAAAACAGCAAGAGAAAACCAAATACTGTATACTGATGCATACATGTGGAAGGAATCTGAAAAAATTGATATACATAACCTTATTTACAAAGTAGAAATAGAGACACAGACATAGAGAACAAACATAGAAAACAAGGGGAGATGAACTGGGAGACTGGGTTTGACATATCTATACTATTGATACTATTAATGTGTATAAAGCAGATCACTAATGAGAAGCTACTATATAGCACAGGGGACTCTGTTCACTGCTCTGTGGCGACCTAAATGGGGAGGAAATCCAGAAAAGGGGGTATGTATGTACATGTATGGCTGCTTCACTTTGCTGCACAGCATAAACTAACACAACATTGTAAATAACTACACCCCCAATTAAAAAAACATTGCAAGCAGCCCAGAAGTTGCTACTTAAAAATAAAACTGTTATCTTCAGCCAATAAAGGCAGGAAAAGATTTTTTAATTAAGATATACTGTGGGGAGAAAGGTTAAATCCCCTTGCTATAAATCTTGAATTGTATAGCAAGAGAGACAAAGACCAAATTCAGGTGACTTGCAGGAAAACATGGCTTCAGGGCAAAGACCCAAACAGGGGTGTGGCTGTAACACTGCAAAATATGACAGGATGACATTTAGTAGATCTTCCAGTTGGACAGAGGCCTGGGTCCACTGCCACAGGATGTACTCAAAGTGCTAGTAATTCAATCTGGAGAGAAGCATATCTTGGGAAAAAAAATGTGATTTTTACACATGGGATGAACTGCAATCAAATACATAGAAAATCCACTAAGTTGTAGAGAAAGTGACACTATCAAAGTCCTACCAGCCTGAACTAAGAGAAACTGAAATGTTTACGAGGCAACAAAGACCTCTGAGCCCCCGATTTTCTTCAGGTGGGAAGCAAGCTGGGAAAACTTAGCTACCCTAAACAGGTGTAAGTTTCCGTGTCCTCTTAGGAAGCCACAAGAAACATGAAGACAAGGTGTCTCAGAGGACAGAGCATGGACTGGGGGTCTCACCCCTCCCCTTGACCCCACTGTCCCTCCCTTTCCTTGAAACAGAACTAAGAATCAAGAAACACTGCCTTTAATGGCATATATAGGAAAACAGTCTAAAAGGAGTGGCTATATGTATAACTGATTCCTTTTCCCGTACACCTGAAACTAATACAGCATTGTAAATCAACTATATTTCAATAAAAAATATATACGTATATAAAAATTTAAAAAGCCACTTCCGACTTCCATGGCAGGGAAATTGGTCTACTTTGCCTTGAAGGATTTCAGATTTGCTGAAGATCAAGTTTCTGCTCTCTGAATGGGAGTGGCTATTGTGATTATCTGTCCCCATTGCACTGTTGCTTGTTGCATAGGTGTGGGAGGGGGTGGCCAGTAACTTGTACTTTCAGTTCTCAGATCCAGTTCATCTCTGTACCATGTGTTCTTCATGGAGTCCTAAATGCTGCGCCTGATGCCACGACTGGGTGAGACTTCTGCGTGCCCTTGGGTGGAGGTGGGGATGTTTTTCACATTGGAGGGATATGAATAACGTGGTCATGGAGGTGGGCAGAAGTTGACTGGATCATTGGCCCAATTCTTTGTGCCTTCTTGCATCATGGCCTCGTTACGGGCAGCCTGTACTTCCCTGCCTTGTGACATTGGGCTTGGCCTTTTGCTTTTGCTCCATGAAATAGGGCTGAAGGGATGGTGCCAGTTTTTAGCAAGGCCTTTTGAAGCTTTGCATGTTTCTTCTTTTCCTCTGTGCTTCTGCCATTACCCTGAGAGAAACAGGTCCCAGTAAGCCCTCTGGGAGGGGAGAGACCAAAGTGAGGACTCAGACCCAGTGATCTACAGAAGGAACCAAAGTTGCCCCAGGGACCTTGAGAGCCATAGGATAGAGGGTTACTGCTCTCGGCCACTGAGTTTGGATGGATTGCCACACAGCATTATCGTGGCCATAGTTCTCTGACACACTTGGCTTCTTGGTCCCAGCAACAATCTCACAGACCAGCTGTGGTGTCTGCCTCCTAACTGTACCCACAGCACTTTCTCCTTAGGCTGGAACTACTGTCAAAATAGTCCTGCCTCCTGGGTGGACCCGGAGTGCTGGCCTGAGGTCTCCTGCCCGTGAACTTCTGGCTACGCCCAGACCTGGCCCAGACTGGTCCCTCAACTGGGAGGGCTCAGCCTACCCCTGCCCTGCCCACAATGCTTGTCATAGCCACGTGTTCTGGGAAACAACTCACTCAAAAGGACAAAGCAGATAGTGGAGTGCAGTTTATTACACCATGGGCCCAAGGCAGAGTCTCCTCTTAGCCAAGGACCCGAACCAGTTTTTGTAAAAACCTTATATACCCTAAGTGTATGTGCCCAAACCCACCTCCCCAAATTCCCTGAAACTAGTCTGAACAAAGGAAAGATACAATCAAAGTTAACCTGTGATTCATATGCTTTAAGCCTAGGTAGTTAACAGTGGACAATTATCAATAGGCCTGTGGACATACCCCAATAAGCATAATAGAATTTATGATTCTATTCGGTTACACAGATAATTAGGGTATTCTTTTAGGCTACGGAGAGTCTAGGTACGAGTCCTGGGCCTCCTCCATCCAGAGGGTCTC